GGTTGCAGTGGTGACTTCTCGAATTCCCTTTCCAACTTGTCCATGTATACATTCGCCAAAATATGTAAGAGTGAAGATCCATTCGGTAGTCCAAATATTTGCTGGTAGATAGTGCCGCTAAATCTAAAATAGGTGGTCTTACTGTCAGGTTGATCAGTCGTGTTAACGATTCCTTCCGTATCCGTTCTGCCTGCAGGATATCCTCTTCTCGCTACTGCCTCACCTGAGATGTTTGTGAACATGGATTTAACATCCAAACTCACCACCAGTTCTGTCCCTACCGGCCCAATCTTCTGGATCCTTCGAGAAAATTCATATTAATTCTTAACGGTATTCAAGAGTCTATCATTTACTTTCTTGAGCTTCAAACAAATTAATTTCGCTAGTTTGTGTATTGCTACGTGCTTGTTGTTGACTATTAGTCTTAGCGGATTTCCTTCCTTGTGTATCTTTGGTAGTCCGTAGGCTGTCGGTGGTCTTGCATCATTTTTGATTAAAGATTTCACCATCCATCTGTTTATTTCCCCATTATTATGCATTTCCTTGAGCATATTCTTCAGTGTCCCGTTGGTCTTCATAGTTAGATCCTTCCTTAGTATTTAATAAGTATTCCGGTCGCCTAGGATACTTTCCATTTTCTCCGTGTATTCTTTCCTGTCCATTACAACCGTCGCTCTTCCATTCTCCGCCTGAAGAACTACTTGCTCATTTTTTTGTAATTTTTTTCCTATACCAGTCAATCTGCTCCTGTATATCGGTTCTTGATGAGCCAGGATCCATGGAATAATTTCTATTTCCACCTCCCGCTTTGTCACTCCTGGATATATGTTGACAACTTCCGCCAGAATATCACAAAAAACATTTCCTTCGTTACCTAGGGAAAAATTTAACTTCCTCTCATAGGGTCTCCCTTATGTATTTCGTCAATTTATTCAAAAACTCTAGCTCAGGCATTATTTTCAACGAGTTTTGAGCTGCAAATGGTTTATCGGAGATGCCTCATAATTAAAATCCCATTTTTATCACATATTTGACCGAAGCAATTTGAATAAGAAAAAAGGGTGGCCGGCAATTGACAGAGCTGACATTAAATAAGGGCTATAAACGGCCCCATACCTTTACAGTCATGCTCAAAAGATGATTGGCACATTTATGCATAAAGTAATCAATATGAAAATATGGCCTGAAAAAGGCGGACTAAACTGGATAGGTTTGCGAGAGCTATGAAAATATAGATAAAATAAAGTCAAAAATCATATCCACGACCAATGGAGATCTCATTGTGATGATATTCCTGAACATTTTCACTAATTAAAGCAGACTAAAAGTAAAAAGCTAAAGGCCATTTTCTTAATATATATTTTGGCGAAAGACCACTTCCTCTGAATTCTTATAGTAGGTTAAGAAAGCAAGGTCAAAATAAATATAAGGAGATTAAAAACACAGAGAGCAGACCATTAACTAATGTATAAAACATAATCGAATTTTTTAATATGCACTGCATTGGCAGAAGCAGACTTGAAGGTAGAAACAGTGCTGATTTTTCAATGAGATAAAATGATGCGTAGAGAAAATTTTGATAAATGATAATTTGAAACATAAATATAACATTGGCTATGTTTTAAGCAAAGTCCATTATTAAGGCGTTCGATTTGAATTGTGGTATAATTTCAGTAATCAAAAAAATATATAAGTTAAAATATAACTTAACGATACTTGCCTTTGTTGCATCAGCTTCTCGTTCAAGATCCTCTGCTTGGGTCTGTGCTTGAGACAAACGCATTAACGGATCGTTTGATGCAGGGGCTATGGAGGCTGCAGCACCAGTGAGCAGAGAGGAAGCTGAATATGAATAGAGAGAAGACGCCGTTGCAGATGAGGAACCCGAAACTGTGTTAATGGCACTACTGGCGTAAGAGGTTCCAGCTGATTGGATTAAGCCAACATTAACCTGCGAAGCGGCAATGCTTTTTAGATTAGCCACCTTTTCTCGAGCGGTTCGCAGATCAGTGCAAGCCTTCGACAGGCTGCGACGCGACTTCTGTACAGCAGGGCAGGTGTCATCAGCGAGCTGGCGCAACGGACCGAGAACGTCACGCTCCACCTCGACCTCAAAGGCACGCCGGCGCTCGGCGATCTCGAGCAGAGCGCTGCTCGAGAGGTGGATAACTTGTCTGCAGTTTTAAGAAACACTCATTAGAATAAATCCATGGAGTAAATTATTAGTAAATCAGTGGTCTATGTATGAATGACAACAAAACTGCTTTTTTTTAATCTATGAAAAACAAGAAACAGAGACA